TCAGACAATGCTCTTCTCAGCCACTTATGGAGAAGATGTTGTAAAGTTTGCAATGCAACTCATAAAGAATGCTGTCACTGTCACGTAAGTCCCTGAATTTGGAGCTCAGGAGTCTTAACTTTTATACTTATAATATCTTTAAGAGTAAATTTGTTTATTACAAATACCTTCATAGAACATGTAGAAGTCACTTCCAGTAGAAGGTTAGAATATATGTTATATCGATTTACTGTCTTTCTTCACGTTTGCGGCTCAGTTTACATTCTCTTCAAGTTTTTCTAAATTTAAACTGTTATCTCTGACTTCTAAAGTTGTTTCACTGTTTGACTATTTATTTTTCTTAATTCATAACCTTGAATTTTTTGCTCCCCGGTTAACTTCATCGCTCATTCGATTTCTTTCCATTATGACGTTAATCGTCGATTATATTATAGCTCGCCCTTTAAAAGCCCAACTCATTATCTCGTCTAGGGTCAGTGGAGTCCTATTTCAACAGGTGTCGCATGTGAATGTTACCTGCATGCACTCCATCAATTCAAATTAGGCTTAGAATGCATTAAGTATTGAGTATCGAATTGGATATTGATAGCTTCTTTGAAAAGTTGTTTCCCTTGTACTTTTTTGGCCTAACTTGTGACTTACAGATTCACTGGGGTAATAAGCATTCATCTGCGACCGGACAGGTGCGCTAATCCCCTAACACTATAAAGACCGTAATCGAGGGTAAATTTGCCAAGTTGCGCAATGTTCTCTGGCTATGGCAGAATAGCTGGTTATATGATAAGTAGGTCACTATTGTCACGTTCTCATATTACTGTTGAAAAAGAATAGAAGTGGACACTGGAGTTTCCGCGCCACTAATCGTTATTCTTAGAAGCTTGTTTGCTATCCAAAAAAGCTATTACAAGAACCATGAAGCGTTTTTGTTCAAGAGAGTGCGTGGGCTAATCCAAGGTAGTTATCTGTGGTTGAATTTCAATTAGAAATCAAATGTAAAAGAAAGACAAGAAAACACACGCTGCTTTTTTGTAAGATCCCATCATCATTCCAAAAATTATTCTTCATCAGCTTTTATGGCACGGAGCTTTCCAATTTCAGCGCCTCTAATTTCGATTCTACTTTTTTTCGTCGAAGTGCAGTGGCTGGTTCCCAAGTTCCATTCATTCTTTTCTTTCAGTTCTAGATAACCCGCTTCAGAAGGAACTTCTTTCACCGATTTTAAGCTCATACCATTAATGTATTCAAAGTGTTGTTCGCTTCTTATCTCTAGGTGCATAGAACCTGCTGTTTGTGGGTTTTATATGTTGACGACCGTGTGGCACAACGTCGTGCCACACTACACCGACACATGGAGGGCTCGCCCTACCCGGTTACTTTGGAGCTATCTTTTTTCAGTGGTATCAAAAGCGATCTGTATCACACTCCACTCGGGTCCAAAAAAACCATATGTGCTCCCTAGCCAGTAATGAAGTCATGAGAGTTGATGGCTGTTGGTGAGAATATAAGAACAAAAGCGCCGCAATACATGCATTCGGCGGTCGTCGTTGCGGTAATATGGAAATTATAGTAACTGGAAAATTTTAGTCTGCTGCTGTAGTGGAAGAATAGCGGTTTATCGTTAATAAGGTTTTTTATAGGTGGTTGTCTAGTTGAGCTTAACCTGGACTTACTCATTCGGCAATGGCAGTGAAACCCCAATAGTGCAGCTTGTTCTGCTGTTGCGATTCTGTTTTCGTTGCGGCTCTGCAAAATCATTCAATTATTCTTGATGTTGGTGAAAGACAACAGATAATTACTGCTATCGCAAAACATGACAATGAGACGTTGTGTAGGTTAGACGAAGACGATGGTTAACGAGACCACCAGATGACGCTGTGATATCCCATAGCACAAATACCAGAATTGAATCATTTACTATGTTGCGCGACGAGTTAATGAACATTTATCCAGAAAAATTGGTTCCTACAGCTTTTTTTTCGCAATGTGTGTTACCGTATTAGTTTGCTGCAGTCAATGGAAGTAAAAGGGCTGATGGTGAATATTTTATCTTGATTCCCAGGTTTTCAACCTTTATCATTCTGGATTTTTTCCATCTAATCCCCCGTTTTTTTTTTTCGAACGACCTGTAGTAAATATGAATATGAATTATGAATAACGAGTTAGCTAGCTTACCCTTCCGAAAAAACCGGCAGTGGGGTTACCCATAGGTAAGGTTTGAGCACTAGCCACCTTACCCGTAGCTGAGTAGTCCCGTCTTTTGGGCATTTCTTTCGCATCACAACCAATGTATCTAGTAGCCTTCTCCTCTTACCCGTAGTTTGTTCGGTTGTTCCCCAGTGGGGGTGGCAATTGCTGTGCATTGTTCAGCTGTTGGCAGATACTTGACCTGGGCTAGGCTATTTAGTCCATTTGAGCTCTGCTTTGAATTTCTCTTAGCATATTGAAGAATCAAAGGGGAATCAATTTTTCCTGAAACACGAACATTGGAGTTCCACAATTAAAGGAATCTTCCACGGACCATGGACCAGTGGGCGGGACCGGAAGTTTTTGTGACGAAATGCATGGTAGGTACGGATCCACGTGTCGAACGCACGAACGTGAACAGGATTCACTTCAAACCTTCCCATGAACGTGGATCCGTACCTACCATGCATTTCGTCGCAAAACCACTTCCGGTCCCGCCCACTGGTCCATTTCCGTGGAAGATTCCTTTAAATAGACCGGGGCCAATTTTAGCGGGACCATGTACGAAATTCGGAACGATTAGTTAACAAAAGGTTCCATATTTTTGTCCGAAGATGTACCCATTCAGGCTCAAAAGGGAAGATCAAGCGTTGCCGAATATCAAGCAATACTTTGTGGAGTGTCCAGGAAGGGATGCAAAGTACCAGGTAGAAATTTTTAATTATGGAGAACATAATCGAAATTCCGCGAAGGTTTATTCGAAGAAAAATTATCTTGCTAAACGCACTTTACTGATTGCCGTGATTCCTTTAGCACGACCGCTGTCGGCTTTGTTGTGAGCTTGAGATTTGAATGCCGTCGCATTTTTCTCATGCTTTTTATTGAAGGGTGTAAGCCAGGTGTTAAGCTTCTAAAAACTTCGAGGAAATCAGTCACCATTTTTTCATACATAGAAGTGCCAAGTTGTAGAGGACGGAATTGTTTTTCTATGTTTCCTAGGAAAATTCTTCAAAAAAGCTTAATTATTGCAGGCTGTTGTTGAGTTGTACAGCGGGCTGACGATAGCGTCGTGTGTGATTTTCACGCATACGCGAAGAAGTGCGTCATGGTTGGCGGAACGAATGGTCGAAAAAGGGCATTCGGTTTGTTGCTACGTGCTTGTTGGATCTTGCAAGGAGAAAAATAGCGCAATTTTCTTTCTTTTTGTCTTTGCCATTAAACCGGTGGCGGTATTTTATAGGTTGGTGTGCTACATGGCGAAATGTCGGTCGAGGAACGTGCCGAATCAATTCAGCGATTTAAAGATGGCGACTTCAAAGTGCTCATTACGACAAACGTGTGCGCTAGAGGTAATCTTTTCAAAAATTTCCATTCAAAGGAATTACCTTGCAAAGGCTTCTGCTGGGTAACGCCAACACGGCCACTGAAAGAGTAGTACATACGTAGATTCAAGTCTTTTTAGAATTCATCAATTTGGGGATTCCGGTTGTACAGTCACCCCTCCATCCACAGATTCACAAATTTTTGAATAGCATCAGTCTGGTGCGAGAACATGATCTGGGGATCCTACTCATATTCCCTTTGTTTGAACTGGTTGTCTCGACAGTGGATGCATTATATCTTGGCGGTTCATATGTCAAGCGAAGTTTACCTTTGAGATTACGTTGAGTGATTAGGCCCGCAAAGAAATAGTATGCTCACTTACCGTATTAGCCGGCTTATGGAGTAACGGGAAGGTTAAGTGATGACGATGAAAGATGTATAAGGCTTTTTCGGAAGAAATCGAATTTTCGCCTCCAACCGTGAGATCATTCGAATGTTTTTCCCTTCAATGAGTGAGGTTCCACAAAGCAGAAAAGCTTTCGTTGGACAATGATGCACCTTTCTTCTCCCCAGTAGCTCCCTACAAAGGTTTTCCTGTGGATACAAGCGACGCATATTTACCATTTTTTAGGTATCGATGTGACCCAAGTCACCATTGTCATCAATTATGATCCACCGTTGTTATACGAGAATCAGTCTGAACCTGACTACGACACCTATCTTCACCGTATTGACGACGGTAGGCGAATCATTATCGGTGAATAAAGTTCAACTTAGTGATTGATTTTGAGCATCTGCTTAGTATTTCATATAATTTGATACCTACGATAGCGATTTTTCGGAGAAAGAAACTGGATGATGAATAGTCATAACTATGCTGTATATTAATGTAGAAGACGTGGACGACGACGGCGAGCTTTGAATGTTCAACTCTGATTAGTGGGGTTGAGGAATGCTGAAAGTAAAGAACTAATTGGGATTTTGAACTGCTCGACAATCAGTGACGCTTTTGAAGGAATGAAGTGAATTTCTTGAGGCCGAGACTGGACTTACCATAGGGGATGCACTTATACTATACAGTGAATGAGGTTCAAGTTCTGGATCTGACGAACAATCTCCTTCTAAATGACGGTACTAGGTGCGGCTGAAAAAACAAATGGTTCCGTGTCCTTAATGCCCTTTTTTACCTATGAATGGCGTCTGGACGGATGTACATGTCGTGAAATATGTATAGAACAGACCAAATCGAACAGAATTTCTCAGAGACGTCCGGCATAGAGAAAACAGGCAGCAAAGGGGAATTTTGGTTTTTGGCAATTTTGCCTTGTGATCCCAGAATCGTGATTCTAGAGAGGGGTAGCTCTATGAAGGCAATTTGAGGATCCGTAGGGGAACCAAGCCTGACGAAAAGAAAAAAGATAAAATGGCAGTTTGGGCAATTTTTCCTATTAATCGTTTGGTCTTCTTGGCGCCCCTATGGTGTTCCATTCATTGACGCCATCCTCGGCGAACTTGTACATGATGTAAATCCATAATGTATTTTCTCTTGCGTGAAGGCTCTAGAGTGATGGTATTACCTCGAAAAATGAGCTAAGTAAGTTTGTTGGTATGGTAGATTACCAAAGTGTGACTGTCAATCAGTTTCTCCGAAGATAACAGTCACCTCATGTAAAGAGCAATTTGTCTATGTAAAGGGGCTATTTCATGGAAAAGGAGGATTTTCGCTAGAATTTCTACAACCATCTGGATACATTGAAGCCTTAATGCTGAACATCGATTTTCTGTTCAAGGTCTTTTTAGAACTGGTCGATTCGGAAAGGCAGGCATAGCAATCAATTTTGTGGACAGTCGTGAAGCACTTGTTATAATTAAGAAGATTGAAGCTTTCTTCGGTTAGTTTCGGTCCAACTCTTGACTGTCCCCTTTTTTTCTCAACTGTCAGTGTTATAGAGAATTCGCAAATGTGAAACTAACATTTTTCGCTATTCTTAGGAAAGCCGATTCCAAGACTCGATCCGAGTGATCTGGAGCAACTGGAGGCTGTTGAGAACGACTGAATGAGAATTTTGTAAAGTTTCTTACAAGTGCAATTGTTTTGAATATTTCTTGTGTTTTCCTTCATCGCCTATGAATTAACAGGTATTTTTGTGCGTGTCTTCTGACGTTCAGTGTTTTTCACTTCCTTGTTGCTTAGTCGTCGTGCCTTACGTTTTTAGTTTATTTCACTTTTCGTTGAAGTGCTCCTAGAGTTTTTCGTTCCTTCCTTTTTTGGTGATATTTATGAGGCATTACTCGTTGGGTAAATCACAATATGTACTTTACGATGTTCTTTCGAAGTGCTTGAATAGTTGTAGTAGGCCTTATGAAAAACGCTCCTTCTTGGTGATATAGTGCCTTCATAGAGAAATTATTTGCATATTCGCATAGATAAGTATATATGTATACAATAATAAATGAAGAGTTGTATTTACATTTGTGATAAAAAAATTATTCAAAGTCTGCCTTGAAACAGTAATGGATACCGTGCTTGGCTGGAGCATTAGCCAGTATTATTCCGCTGTACAAAATGTTTCTCATCTCGCGGGCGATATTCCTTGCGATTGTGTTTCGTAATTTAGAGCTTTTCGAATGAGTACTTATCTAACGCATGTAGTTAGAAAGAGGGTCAACCGTCTGGTGATAAATTTACCGACGCGAGGGCTCGTACTTCGGGTGGTTTTTGTGCGGTATGGTTGTAGGAAGGGGGTTGTATTTGAGATTATTAGAAGGAATCGTCGTGGCAGAAGTTGAGGTGTCGTAGTGGGGTGGTAGAGAGACTTGCTTTTTCAGTTTCCTTTTTGGCATTTTGACGAGGTTTTCAAGGAGAAATGACTTCAGTGGGCGCGGTTAAGGTACGGGTGATTCCTTAGCTATGTTTACCCTTTCGATCTGCTATTTTGAAGCTGCTGAGAAGTTAACCGTGCTGTAAGGCCGAGGCGCTCATCCTTGTAGCTTGTGATATTTGACTCTGGAGTATAGGTGAAACTCGTCGCTGGTATGCGTGCGCCCTTGTCCCCCGTATAGAACGACTTAGTTTATGTTGTGACTTAGAAGTTGGGGAGATCCCATGCGATCAGAATTGGCAGTAAGTTTCCAAAATCTTCCACATTGTAGCTGCTGCGAGCTTTCTACTGCTTGTTTATCGATGTGGGTGCCGAAGACAGGTTGGCCTTGTGTTTGATTCGCCAATGCCATATATTGGCTATACCATAGCCACACTGACATTTCTGGAAAACCGCTCTGTAATATTTCAGACCCCTTATATGAATTGCGCTGCAGTCCTTTCCTCTCCTAATGCACGTCGGCAACATGAAAGGATGAAAGTCAGTTTGAGGTTAGTGTGAAGAATGTTACAAACTTCATACATCTTCTACAAGTTGAGAACTGGGCAAATGGCTATGGCTTGCTGGAAGATTCTAATTTTTTCACTATCCCGGCTACCAGTGATATTTGATCTTAATTTTTTTTGCCAGTAGCCTATGTCAAATGCTTTTTCGCTAGATGTTTGTATGGACGGTGCTAGACTTCACTGAACCTGCTCTGCGTTCATATAAAAAAAACACGGTGAGCGGAGTGGCTATTTCTGCGCCATTTCACATTGTCTTCTCGTTCATTTGTGGCACGGTAAACAATCGAAAAAGGGGATACTTTCTATCCGGCACTTCTACTGCTCAAATTCTGAGGATAAAAGCTTAGAACCAGAAATTTTCTCACCGCACAAAAAGATGCAGTGTTTATCTGTTTAATGCTACTCGCTCTCTGTGTTTTAAGGCATCTATTTCTGACTTTTTTGAAAACCTGAAATTTTGGGAAAAGGTCACTCAACGCTGATTTTTTGCCTCCACGTCTCCTGATCATAGGTCCACAAGCTGCTTTTTGGTACAGTGTGAAAATAAAATCAACTTTGTGACAGTCAGTCCCGTAGTGTAGCTGCATATAACCTTGGCTTCAAAGCTTTTTCCTTGCTCAACCTTCAGATTCTGCCTGGCCTTATTCAAGAGTTTCCCATGAATATTCTGCGTTATTCTTCCGATTGCCTATAATTGCACAGAATCTGTTTGCTTTGATAACGAACGTATGAGAATCCATTAGACACTATCGCTCTCTCGTTTGACCTTTTGAAGAAGTGCTCAAAGCACTGTAAGTCTCAGATCTTTGTATAGTAATAAACCCGGAGCCAAAACGATTGAGAAGGCTGTATACGATTTATTTATGCGGGACCGGTGTCCATTCGATTCCACGCAAAAAGCTGACAGTTTCTTTCGCCGTAAATGGTTGGCGGACGAGCGCAGTTTGTTCCTTTTATGGTCTTCGCCACACGTACTCCATTGCTTCCCTCAGTCTCCTTCACCACTCGTTATGTGCCGCGCTTGCCTTCTGCAACAGACAGCTCTTTTGTGCTGTAGACAACCCGCCGCCGTCTGACATGTCTTCATTCAGCACAACAGATTCTTTGACATCGATTTTTCGGGTTGCAGTAGAGTTTAACAATCGATCACACCTGAAATCGATATTCAAGAATCGTGAGCTGTGGTTCGATGAGGTTAGGAAACGTTATTTGTTCTCTTTTAAATCTAAAAATTTGAAGGCTCCATGGAAGAGATCGTCCCCTAATATGTATCGGTGCCAAATGTCACAGTTTCGTCTGAGCAAGTTGAACGGGAAGCAATGGGAGCGTGCAGGGGGCGCGAGGGGGGCGGGGGGGGCAGTTGGTATAGTATTTTGGGATAGCATTAGAATGGCAGGTGTTCTTGGAATTGGCGAAAATTTGGTCGAAATTAACAAAAAGCTCGAAAAATATCGCGACATTCCCCCCCCCCCCCCTCAATCGCTCTACTGCCTTGTCTCACATATTTATTTTTCCAAGAGAGAAAGGTATTTTAATTGGTGGATATAGGTCCCACCAACCCCCGGGAGATGTGTTAGTGGGAAGCTGGTGGAGGGGAGGCGTAGAAATTTCAAGTCTGCTGGAAGCGACAGTTGTCCAGGCTCCTAATGCAGCAATCCGAGTGGGAACCCTACCCGAACGGAAGCTGGTAATAATGAATGAGTGCCAGTCCCAGATCGGTTCCATGAAATCCGGATCGTGTGGGTGCATTTAATTGCTGCTGACGGTGGTCGGTGGTCAGTCGCTGCTAAAGGGTCATGCTCAGATGTTTGGACAGGCGCCGCGGGGGAGCTGGAGCAGCTTCGCTCAGTGCGTAGTCTTCCCACGCCACACAACACAATGCCCGTTCGTCGTCACGCCGTCAGCCCCTCTATTCATTTCAAGCATGATATTCTAGCCCATCTCAACCGCAAGCATCTCCGTGACAAGGAATCGTACAAGGTCCCGTCTTACACCATCCCATTCGACTAATTTCCCATCACCGGCAACCCACATTTGTTTCCGGGAAATTATTAACGATCATTCGGGGTTTTTCCTCTTCCTGATTCCATATTTCATCAAGCGTTCGGAAATTGAAAACCGCTATCTCTGAATTCGATTAGGTTTTTATTCACATATTCATATGCTATTTATGGAAACGATATGATTCCCGCTCCATTGTGGGTCGCCCATTTTTACAAGTCTTATGGCTTTCGGTGATAGTAACTTTTGGAATCAGTCCAGTAGTTTTGCGCTACCGTCTCGTCTCTTTCAGTGGTTCAGTCAGGCGCGGAAATTTCGTGGACGCTGATTAAACATTGCCCCACTTCATAATATTTACCAGTCTTCTAGTCGATTTCAAAAAAGTCTTCCAGGAACTCTACTTTTACAAATAGCGGTCGGGCGACGAAGTACTGCTTGCTACAGTTCGTCTCAGTTTTCAACTTCTAATTGAATCTCTCAATGGTATCGATGCTGTACAATTTTTGGGTTTAGAAGTTTCCATTAATTTTTGTTCCATGAAGCCTTCAGTTGCCATTTTTTCGATATCGAATCAATTGAACGCTTAGTTTCCCCGGGTAGTTTCTTAGGAACCCCCTATCCGTCGATATGAAAGGCAC